TGGGTCACCCCTATTCGCTTGATACATAGAATGATTGCTCGATGGACGAATCGACCATTAACCTCGCTTGGTGGTTTGCGTGTAAGGCTCTCAATGATGCGTGTCTGAGTGAATCACCGTCACAGGTTTAACCTTTCATACATTCATATGCTATTAATCGCTAACCAAAGAATTAATCAATGTGTTGATAAATAGAGAAGATGGACTTGTGCATAGGGGACACTTGCTTGTAGGATATATAACGAGAGGGATCATTCAGATTCAAGGATTTTCATTCTACAATGCTTCTCGTTCCTATGTACATAGAGAATGAGAAAACTTTGGCCTAGTAAGAAAGGTGGCTCTTTAAGGAATGCAAATAATAAATATTATTTTGGACAAGGCCTTACACTATTTAGATATTAGAGAGGAGATAGAATTGATAATTTCAAGTAATGTGGGGCTATTAAGAAGTGTCCTAAGGCAATGTCTGGTCATCCTTTCTTAATAGAAGGACTAATAGTCTAGACATTTAAAAAGTCCTAATGTATCTATCCTGTAGTACATCTTAATATATCTTGTTCAGTGCTTTGTTTTTATATATAAGCATGCATTTAAATTATCAAAAGATGATAAATTCTTATTAGTATCCGCAAAGTGTAACTGTCAATACGATATTGAATGGGCAAACATTAATTTATAAAATAATTGCTTAAAATTTGATCGCCATAACAACCTGAAGGCTTGAAGGTCTTACAAACTGGGATTTGACTTTGCTCTTCCTTCATGTAGTGTGCATTGTTTCCAGTCATGAAGTCTTTGATGATCACACTAAGGCATTCTGTATGGTAGGAAGTTAGATATCCAGAAATTGTCAGCGTATGAAACATCAATTCTTACAGCATTGAAATCCAACTGCATTTAATTACCACTGTAAATATTCACTTGTATAGATATATAAAAATGTCACTATTTTGAGGTTGGAAATTTAAAATGGTATAAATCCCCACGTTTCTCGATAAATCAATGTACCAGAAATGGCCACATCAAAATACTTCCAGTAGTATCGAATGCGATGGACAAGCAGCAAATCACCAGATGTGGTCTCACACAGGCTCTTCAGGTCATTGGACTTTCCACTGGTCTCAAGCAGCAGTGAGACTTGGCAGCCCCTGAATGACTGAGCATCCTTTTCAGATTACACTGCTCATCTCAGTAGCACGAAGAAGGGAGCTTGAAAACGTGCTCTAAATATTGCTTGCTGCACCTGCACTCAGGTCAGCATACGTTGCTGGAAGCAGACAATTTTTACTCAACTTTGAAACGTACGCATACTATTAGACAGTATAGCAGCGGATAGACGAAAGAGGAGAACAATTCTAGTTGGTAGAAAACTGGCTAGATTCAAAATCCAGATAGCAGCCCTGAGTGAAACTAGCCTAGCTGAGGAAGGACAATTCACCGAAGTAGTAGCTAGCTTCACCTTCCTCTAGAGAGGCCCAAGTAAACGATACCGAAATGAAGCTGGCCTTTGGTTCGCCGTACAATCACAGCTAGTTTTAAGTTGTACTTTATTTATGGCTCCAGATGTATCGGCACTTATTGTTATGAAGCTGAAATACCAATCATGACCTGCACTACCATCATTATATGGAGTGTTCCTAAATGAAAATATTAGAAGTAGAAGGCTAAGGATGCTAACGCCTTATTTGCAATTGTCAAAGCTTATGTGAAAGCGCCAAATGTCTTGACGGAATATTTAACCGTCCAGCTGGGGTAAAGCAAGCTTTTTTTTCGCCTAGTTCATTTTATTAAGATTTAAAAGCACGTATATTTGCCCAGAATAACGGTAAAACTTTTTGATTTTGCGAATTTATTTATACAGATTACATGGTTGCTTTTTTCCGAAATAGCTATTCAGCTTCAACGAATTCTAAACAAATACTTCAACGTCCGGAAACTGGGTTGGTATTTTGGTTGTTTTTATAGAGACGGTATAATTTAATATTTTCTTGGCTGTGAATTTTCTTCTACATATTCATGGTATATGTGTCAAAAAGTGATCGCACCAGTCGTGTAAAGGTACTTTATGATATAGAGACTAGACTTTGGTAAACTTTCTACAAACGCTGTATTTCATATAGTTAATACTAAACAACACCAATGTTTAATCATGAGTTGGAGGTTGGAGTTTCCTACAAAACAAATTGCAATGAACATGTATTTACGTCATTTTGTAAATATATCATTTTTATTACTAAACACACTCCAGACGTTTTTATTTATAGTACGTTAGGCAGAATGCCAATGGAAGTAGAAAGATATCGAATATTTCTTAACTACTGGCTCAGATTGTTACAGATGACTGATGAGAGATTCTCAAAACAGACCTATAACATACAACAGACATGCGTCGATCTCTGTAGGGTAAATAAAGTTAAAAATCTACTATTTTCATACGGAATGGTAGAAGGTTTGGGTTAATCAAGGGGTGGATGATAAGAAACATTTTTCATCATGCATGAACAACGTTGTTGTGAAGATATTATAAAAGTGAGAGAGAGAGAGTGTGTGTGTGTGTGTGTGTGTGTGTGTGTGTGTGTGTGTGTGTGTGTAATAAACCCAAAGGACATACCATGTGATGGCTTTATTAAGTATAATCTTTGCTGTATTTCTTGCTAAATCTTTAAAATATCTTTATAAGCTCTTATTATACATCGTGCATTAATGAACTTCACACAACTACAGCAATATGGTCAAAAGTTACGGTTCACTCTTCCTTCTTTTTTCGCATGGCAACCAGAAAATCACAGTATTTTCCCAAATAATTTGCTGTCTAGACAATCTTAACACATTTATGTGCAATATGAACCTGCTAATCTACAGCAATAGTGTTAATGCACACTAGTCATGAACGTATCAAAGACATCCTGATACTTTTCAGGTCAATGAAACATGGTTTTTCTTACTGAAGCATTTTCAGGGGTTCAGCAATTACGAAAATGTTGGAGACAAATTTCCGATAATATCCAGTCAAAAACAAAAATCGCATCAGCTTCTTGCTACGTTTGTGTACAGGAAATTCAGATATAGCCTTGACCTTAACTACTGTAGGTTTAACTATTTCGTGTCCCACGATACGTCTCAGTTTTACTTAAATTTATGTGTGTGTGTGTGTGTGTGTGTGTGTGTGTGTGTGTGTGTGTGTGTGTGTGATTTAAATTTTTAACGTAGCTTTAACTTAAATTTCTAAAAAGATAACCAAGATGAGGTTTCGGATTAACAACAAAACTGTTGATTGCAGTTCAAATACAATAGTTAATCACGTACGATTCAAATAAGAAATGAAGTATGATTGATAGTTGCGCGTATGGTTCCAAATATTGGAAAAATCAACATAAGTCGCACGAGATTACTAATGCAACAAATACAACACATGCAAATATATGATCTTATACTGTACAATAAAAAAAATGTGAACGATACACAGTATATCACAAAATAAAAACAATGAGTTTTATTCTATAGCAAAAAATGAAGTATTCACTAAAATTAGTGATCTGAATTTTTTTCTAAAGTAGTAAAATGATAATAAGACAGATATCAGAAAATACCTTTTCACTTCCTAGACACTGGGTATAACAAGACCCCAAAATTAGCCCACAGCCAAAATATTGCATGTATGGAGCAACACAAACACTCCCTCAGCACCACAATTTGCCACCAGTCACACTGGTCAGTCAAGCAAAGATTATAGGTAGTCACTGACCACCATTCATTTCTAGATCAAACAAGCAATTAGTGTCCATCACTTCGGTCAATAGCGCCCGATCACCTGCTACTTGACTAACAACGATCTGATTACCCTCGAAACACTTGAAACAGCTCGAAACGGCTGAAAATACATTCAATTCCGTGTATTATGCATGACACGGGCATACACGATAAAACGTAATAACGTTATATACGGTAACTTATAAAAATACATTATCAGTACTGCACTACAAATTAATATATTTGTTTAGAAATGAACCAGTAAATCAAAGGATTCATATAGCACTATGTTACGTGACAAGGGTCATTTAGCGGCCCAAACATAACTAGGTCACAACATTCAATTCCGCAAATGTTCAGTATCAGACAGAAATAATCATGTTTATCACTAAGCTAAACTTCCATATTTTATTTTTCAAATTAAACGATGACTGATCGATCTCCTTCTGAATAGTAGTTTTTGCTGAATAAAATAAGCATACATTTTATAAATTCAGAAAAACAAAATATACCTTGTACATAGTTTTTAATACACTAAATATAATAAAGTTTAATTTTATTCCACCCACTGATATAACCTGGATATTAAGCGACCATTTCTCATTATCGATACTAAAACAGTTTCGCGTGTCTCTCAGATGTGGAGCTACGATTGGCTGAGGGGTTCTTTTGGTGACATGTACATCTTATGATTGGTGAATTGTCACGTGGAATAGGAAACCCTTTGTCTTGTGGCCATTTTAAATTTTTCCATATTCATACCATTTTTCAGAAAGTGTTTATAGTGTACACATGTTTGTTACTGAAATATTTGGATGTTACAAAATTGCATATTTTAATGAACAGGTGACATCAAACCGAGATATAATCATTATCAACACAGTTTTGTGTGCGTGTGTGAGGGGGAGGGGGTTCATTTAAAATACTAGGTTGAGACCTGTGTTTGCAGCGTCTGATTCAGTCACATTCAGATTCAGAGAGATGACTTTTGGAAGTGTGTGTGTGTGTGTATGATTGATTTCGATTTTTAAATTAGTTTTACAATTCTTCTGTCATATCGCTACTATGTCGGCAGTGTGGCAGTAAACAGTCTCGAACTTGGGCATAATGCTCCAGACATGCAGCATAGTGTCACAACCAGTTGTATTATCCTTAGGCCTGCCAACCAGTCTAACACCAACCCCTTACTGCTGAGCGCCAAGCGAGGCAGCTGTTAGAACATTATAAGTCTTTGTAAGTCTTTGATATGAATCTGCCATGATTCGAACCCGCTACCTTCCGCGTCCGAGGCGGACGTTCTAACCGCTAGGCCACTGAAGCGTCGACGTCTGACAGGATTTCACATGTACCGAATCCATTGCGAAAATTAGCCGGTGTTACTTTTGCCCATGCTGCCAATAGCCATTTGGAACGTCAGTGTAAGTTACACGGCGCTACCAACCTGCTGGAGTGGAGGTGTGCTCCCCATTTATCCTCCGATTTTCCCGCTCTTGCAGATAAAGCACTTCGATGGGTGGTTGACAGCAATGTTAAGCGCATGCAACTTGCATCTCAGTTCAACTGGAAGTAAGAAGATTTGTGCTTCCATTGTGTCATTGTGGAATGGTCGAGAAAAGCTCGAAGTCAGAAAACCAATTATGAATTTCCCCAGTTTGGTTGAAACAGCTCTGCTACGGTATGTCCTTTATTAAGCAGAGCACGTTGATTGATATTTAGACCGTTCAGGGTTTCAGTGGTAAAGAGACATATGATTCACCATACCCTATAGTTTTGAACTATGTTTCTAATGAAAGGAAGCCAACATAGATTTCAGTCGTTCATTAATAAATCAAACAATGCTTAAACAATACAAGAAATCTAGACACCTAGTATTTCTGCTGAACTCATTTATTGTTTGGTTTCCGTCTTGTCTAGCATCTGCCTAAAGTCAGCCAGTTTTAGCAAACGGCTTGAAAGCCATCATGGACTACTTTTGATCCCTCATACACCTCATAAAACAAAACACATTTGGCCTTACAACAGTAAGGTAATCAATTGACTATTGGCGTCTATACATGGTGTAAATAACAGTGCAATCCCATGTAGGCAGAGTTTAAAGTGTAGGCAACCTTGTATTCAGAAATAAACAACAAAATTAGTTGATTATGTAAGAGTTGTAGGTTATTTCAGGTTTTAAAAAGTCATGTCTCTTTGCAACATGCGAGATAACGTTAATATTTACTTAGGAAATACTTTGTAATAATGATTGTTTAAAAATGTTATAAACATTGAAAATGCATCTGTTGTGACTGAATAACTCCTACCCTTGTTTAGTTTTAATAGAGTTGTCTCTCTTAAGTGCAGTTTAGTTCCAACAGAGTTATCTCTCTTACATGCACTAGAGTACCTGGTTCTGTCATTATCAAATTGACAATCTTAGATTGTTCTCCATGACATTGTTTGACACACGTGCTGAGGTAGAATAGAATTATAAACATTAGCATTGAGATTATTCAAAAAATAAGTGGTAATGTGGCTTCCATTTGTGTTACAAAGAGAATGGGTTGGCTGGCCTTTGTACAAGGACTGGGGGTTAGTGACCTCATTTATCTGCAGTCAGTGTAAAATGTTTAAAGCTGATTCTTTGGGTCATGTCTGATAAGTTCTGTGTCTACTAAACAAATATAAAGTCCTTCATTTTAGACAATTTCTCTTTCTTTTGTTGACTTTGACCTGTGAAGTTTGTGAATAATATCTGTTGCAGGAGAGTGCACAGAAATTGATGTAAGCAGATCAGCTAACATTTTCTAGTAATAATTTGTACATAAATGTAAATGACAATATGAGAAGTATGCTTTGAAACAAAGTTTTGGTGGCACAATTGCATATTGTCTTGTCATTAATTCTTTGCTATAATCCTGATTTTCATTTGTGATTTTGTTACTATTCTGTGGTTACCGTGTAAGTGACAGAAGGAAGCGAAAACGCACAAAATTTGTAAACCTTAACAAAGAATCTAATTATCGAAGTCGTAAATGACAATGTGAGAGAAACTTACAGTATTATGATGTGAATCCTTTAGCAATATAATGGTCCTCTGAAACACATGATGTCAAAATGGCTTATCCTGAATTCTTTCCAATGGATTATATTAGTTCCAAAAAAATGTTATAGTCGTAATAATGAACAGATTCTATTTCAATTGAACAGTCTAAACAAATTCTTTTCATCTTCAATATATATATATATATATATATATATATATATATATATATATATATATATATATATATATATATATATATATATATATATATATATATATATATATATATCGTTCATTTTTATAAATTATTACAAGGGTGTTGTTAAAAATAAGAAGCAATAGTATAGTCACTAATAGTCACTACTCCATTCCACAGCTTATCGAATTTGTTAATACAGTGTGTACAATTTCCATCTGCCAGTTTTCACAATAATGATCATCAATTTGAAAGTAATACCTGTCAGTTTTGAGAATTACCACAAATAGCATATATATATATATATATATATATATATATATATATATATATATATATATATAATATATATATATATATATATATATATATATATATATATATATATATATATATATAAGAGAGATAGATAGATAGATAGATAGATAGATAGATAGATAGATAGATAGATAGATAGATAGATAGATAGATAGATAGATAGATAGATAGATAGATAGATAGATAGATAGATAGATAGATAGATAGATAGATAGATAGGATTTTGTATGTAATAAAACAAAATGAGACCTGGAAATTACTCATTTCGATGCTTCTTTTACTACTAGCGGAGAAATCTTAACTTAAATACTGTTTTGTATTTGAAGATTACAGCCCATTTATTAGACCTTAAGTCTTTTAAATGTTTGTAGAGACTGACGTCTGGCTAAGGAAATTTCAAAGAGCAATACATTTTCAAAGAAAATAATGTTTACTAGAGAAGTACTTTTGTACAGGAAGATTTTAAAGAGCAATACATTTTTGCAGGGAGATTTTAAAGAGCAATACAGTTGGACTTGCATGCCCATACCTTGGGACTCAAGGACCAATACATTTGGACTCAAATGCCAATACATTGGGACACCTAGAGCAATGAATTTGTACAGGAAGATTTTAAAATGAAATACATTTGGACTCGCATGACAATATATTTGGGCTTGCATGCCAATTCATTTGGACTCCCAAAGAAATACATTCAGATTCTCCAGCTAATACATCTGAACTCCCAGAGCAATATATTTGGACGCGCAGAACAATACCTTTGGACTCTCTGAACAATACATTTGGACTCGCAGAGAAATACATTTGAACTCGCAGAGCAATTATATTTGATATTCACGGCATGTGTTTTCCCTTTTAAAGAACAGCATAATACTACTGACAATACAATTGTATATTCTCTTGAGAGTAAAGAAGTTAATCCAACCAGATGCAAGATCCCCTTGTTATTATGCACGGATCTTGTGTATTACTGTCTTATCTGACATCTTGAAGGTATAAGTGTACACTATAATTCTGACCACCAGAAATTAGCCAATCAGATGCAAAATAACTATGTTCCTATGTTTGGATCTTGTTCATTATCAAACCTAACTGGGATTTTGATGATACAAGTATATGAAATCAGAAATGTTGATGCCAGAGCAGTCTTATCCTCAGCTAATTAGACACTACAATCTCATGCATAGAATTAGATTACATTCGAACTTGTATAAAATAGTGATTAAATAAATCTGTAATACAAGTTTGATCAAGACTGGATAAAAAATATGGCCTTCAGAATGCAAGAAGAAAATGTTGATGGTCATATGCTGGTCACATGATCATAAGTTCATTTGGCAAAATGAGCAAGTAAGCAAATAAGCTCCGCCAGTTAGATGCAAGGCATCTCTTTAATAATTTATAAGCTGCATGTTACAATGATAACATAAACTTCATTTAAATAATATTCTAGAAAACATCCTCACAAATGCAATATCTGGGATTCAGAAGACAACCGGAGTCTTATTAAAAGCAAAGGTGGAACATATCCTGTCTCTAGAGTAGTAAAATTACGTTAGCGAATCTAAGAATAATAATTTTCGTGTTTGTTTACATAGATCATGCTCATAACCGAACTTGTCCAAGATCTTCGCAATAAAAGATTATTTAACACGTTTGCTAAATTCTGATCCAAAAGATAATTAAATTAACCTTAACAAGCTTACCCAATCCGATGTAAGGTCACATCATAAATATGTATTCATTTCACTAATAACCATACCCAACCAAGATCTGAGAACTCAAGACTGCATTTGTAATATTATATTGACCTAACCTAGTAAATGGACCAATCACAAATACGGTCGTAGTGGTAAAACAATAGCCAGTTGCATGCTAAGTCATGTTGTAAATATGCACATGTCTAACTTGTAACAAAGTCTCTAGAAGGGACTGTCACTCAACTGTCCATAAATAATTTCTTCTTTTGAAGTGTTAAATATTCAAACACTTCCAAAACACATTGTTGTTATAAGTCTTCAGGTGCAAACCCCATGTTGATTTTATTTTACATTTAGAACAAATAGCAAAAACAATATTTTCAGGATAGCTGTTATGGTAGCCATATTGTATATCAGATCGTTACTGCTTTCATTTAGGACCAACTTCACTTCATAAGCCTCTTGATGAAAACCACACATTGATTGGATCATACATTCACGGAGTTGCAATAACGTTTTCAAGATGGGCAGTGCTGGCCTTAATGAACATGTCTGTGACACCATTTTCGTTTAGACTAGCTAGAAAAGCCAATAAGAAGATTTCTGGTGCAAACATCATCATGAAATGATATTTTATTCAGGATGAGCAGTAAGAATAAGATTTTCAAGCTGGCTATCATGCTGGCCATATTGGACATCAGACCACTGCCATTCTTTCATTGAGCAGTTGAGGACCAGACGGAGATATTAAAAGGTCATCCAGTGAAAACTCAACGTTGATATGACCATCCATTCAGGTGAAGAAGCTAAGATTCTAAATCTGACCCAAAATGGCAGCCATGTTGGATATAATATTTTGTCACTTTTGAACCATTATTATTATTTGAATGACTAGCAGTGGAATAGTATAATATTCTCTGATAGTGAAAAAGTGTTTACATGTATGATACTATTATTTTTATTTTTTATTTCTTTGTAGGAGTGGATGGTTTTGTTACATACAGAGGCACAGTCAGTCAGTAAGTTGGATCCTGGAGTGGCAGAAGTAATGTAAACATGTGCCATTACCTGGTAATAAATG